ATATACACGACCTTTCAACTTCAGTGAAACGTCGTGTCTACGCCAAAGGTGTTTTAGTCCTGCATATGCTGCTCGAGCCTTGGAAATGCGGGCGGTTATCTCCTTTGCTGCACTACCATCAATGGTCACGCAACATCCTAAGTAGGAAAAGTAATCTACCACAACTAAATCCTGATCATTTAGTGTCAGAGTGCGCACGCATTCGTATGTAACTATTGGGAGTTTAAAACAAACGGGATCATTTCATATCCCTATTTTTTATCGATTCCAACAACTAGCAGCCCATATAATGACCGTCCAATGTATGTCTAGTGTACTGCGTATTACTCATTTTGGTAAAAATACTTACGGTCACTTCGCTTTGAATTGCGGACCTTCACGAAAGTTGATTGTATCCGAGCATTAGTGAGAATGACCTGATCTCGTGTTTTAAGATTGAATTTTTTTATCCTTCAAATTAAAACATCTTCAGCATCCACAACCGCCTTGATAAATGTATTTCATTGAAACCTCTCCGACCACACGGATTGTATTTTGCTGTATCTATTTCGGGTACAATTTATGATTCAGAATAAACAGGAGTGCTTTTGTGAAGTACAGTGGTCACACTAAGACAGATGACCCATGCTCTATCGTCGTGCCCAACTTTCAACGATACATACAACATTTGTAAAACCGTTTACATCGGGACTGACGAGAGTACGTCTGAACAACGAACGATCGAGTCACCTCCCAAAGATAAAGTCTAATTTTGACTAATATTAATTACATGGATTCCTTCAGGTTAACAATTAATTAGTGCTTTTATCCATTCAGGTCGAATTAATTGATAACCAGATTGCCCTCATGCGCCTTGCTATTCACTAAAAATTATAAGCGACAGCCTGTTTTACTCGCCCTCTCTCTCTCTCGCTCTGTTCGATCCAAATAAATAGTGAGAAAGTTAATCAAAAGGTGCAAAGTGAAAACCAAAAATTAACTAGGTGTACCAAACTTTCAATTTTGCCTGGGGAATACATGAATACCGTATTGCTGATCGTCGCACTCGTTGTCTTGCCCCATCACAGCAGATAGATTGCAAACCGGTCAAGAACAGTTGATAAACGTAGAAACATACACGGTTGGAAAATCTTATCTTCACAATCAACTGTGTGTTGGTCATGTAAATCAATCTACGTGTGCTCTGAAAAGAATGAGCCTCCATATCCAGGTGTTTCGTGATTAAAGTACACATGGAAACAGTGATAAAGTGAAATTTGATCGAACTGAAATCACAATGAGAACTTGATGTGGGAGCACATCAAACATAAATTATAGAACCCGATATTTGCTTAATTCACATTTAACTGTCAGTTACTTGCGCGTGACGAATGTTGCTGATTTAGTGAAACATCCTTTTCCATTTATTTATTTAATGAACACAAGAATACAATTGTTGGCAGAATTGATATCGAGTGCCAATCTCATGCTTTCTCATTCAGCCTTTAACGCACATTCATATAGTCGTGTCTAATGAGA